GTGGGGGGCGATATTTACTTTCCCTCCCCCGCCCCGAGCCTGCTCCTTTGTCCACCCACTTAGAAGTGCTCTGGGATCGCCGGGGTGGGAGCATTGTTGTTCGCTAGCAAAAGATCGGTCATGCCGGGGAGAGAGTAGCGAGGGTACGGGGGGCTGGGGCCGGCAAAAGCTGAAGGAGGCGGGGAGGAGAGACTGCTCCGAGGATTGCCGTTTGCCTCCCAGTTTCCCTGCATGGACCGTGAAAGAGACGCATTGAGTTGACACTGCCGGAGCTGTTTCTGCTTCTACATGTGAGATCTGGTTGGTTTATTCTCTCCAGCTATCTCTCTCCAGCCTCCTTCCTGTATTCTCCACTTACTCCTGTATGCAAAATGGTGGACCCTGTGGGGTTTGTGGAGGCTTGGAAAGCACAATTTGCAGACTCTGAGCCTCCTAAAATGGAGCTGAAATCTGTGGGAGACATTGAACAGGAGCTGGAGATGTGCAAAGCATCTATCCGGAGACTGGAGATGGAGGTTAACAAGGAGAGGTTCCGCATGATTTACCTGCAGACTCTTCTGGCAAAGGAGAAAAAAAGCTATGATAGACAGAGATGGGGTTTTAAACGTGTTTCTCAGTTGCCTGAAGGGGCTGCAGAGCAGCAGATCCAAGACCTGCATCATCACCAGTCTGCTGACCAAGACGAATATGAAAAAAGCAAGTCACACCACGGGGAGGAAAAGTTCAAGCCTAGGATACCCTCTCTGCGGAAGCTGTCTACCCAGAGCGATGGGTCAGACCTGTCGCCTTTGGACAGCCCCCATCATGGAGAGGGAGAGCAGGACAGGTGTAAGTACTATGGTGAAGAGAAACTGAAAAGAGTTGTAGAAGATATGGAGAATCGCTGTGATACGGATGGCTCTCCTTCAAAACACAGATCGGCTTCTACTCGCAGGCTAGGGGGATCTGCTGAGAAGGAGGGATCATTTGAACCTATTTCTAAGGAGAGAGGGAACAGCACGAGTGTGGCAGCCCTAAGGTCCAATTTTGAGAGGATTAAAAAGGTTAATTCACATCCTTCTGGAGATAATAAGGATGTTGTTGAAAAGCCCTTTTATGTGAACATGGAGTATCATCATGAGAAGGGTCTAGTAAAGGTCAACGATAAAGATGTTTCCGATAAAATAAGCTCCCTTGGTAGCCAAGCCATGCAAATGGAACGCAAAAAGTCTTTGCACTCCCTCCCTTCTAACATGGTACCCAGCTTCAGCGAGTTGCAGAGGCCTGCTTACAGGGGAAGGTCCTCGGAGAGCAGCTTTGGCTATGATGGAGAATATGAGGATGCTGAACTGAACCCCAGGTTTCTCAAAGATAACCTGATTAATGCCAATGGCAGCAACCGCTCACCTTGGCAGCCCATGGACTTTCAACCCTATCAAAGTATCTATGTTGGTGGAATGATGGGGGAAGGAGAAGGGAAAGGACCTATTCTGCGAAATCAGGGCACTGACCAGGAAAAACATCTCACTTGGCCCAGGAGATCTTATTCCCCCCGAAGTTTTGAAGATATTGGAGGAGGATATACTCCTGATTGTAGCTCTAATGAGAATCTTACTTCCAGTGAGGAAGACTTCTCTTCAGGGCAGTCCAGCCATGTCTCCCCCAGCCCCACCACTTACCGCATGTATCGGGATAAAAGCCGTTCTCCGTCCCAGAACTCTCAGCAGTCCTTTGACAGTAGCAGTCCACCAACCCCCCAGTCTCAAAAACGGCACAGGCAGCAGCAGGTCATTGTGTCTGAGGCTACTATTGTGGGTGTACGAAAAACAGGACAGATCTGGCCAAGTGATGGAGACTTGCCTTCCGGGAGATGTCACCAGGACAGCTGCTTCCATGGGGATACAGGTGTGTACTAGCTTTTTGTTTAGCCTTTTAAATGTATGGAGCAGGAAATAGCATCATGGAAACGAATGGGAGAGGATTTCTAGGTCACCCTGGGTGAATCGCTCCAAGGGGGCAGCTGTTAAATGTGAGAAGTCTGTGGTTATTTTGTAGTTGTCCTGTTTTAGGAAGGTCCTGCAGAGATACACATCAGGCTGCATTTTAGGAATACAGATTTGATTCCCAGAAGGGTTGATTCAGGCTTCTCTTGAGAGGATCAACGGAGTCCCATGTTAATCAGTTCTTAAAGTTTCAATGTGAACACTGAGGTAAAAAGGGGCCAGAACTGCGCAGTATTCACCACCAGATCGTTCCCTCTCTCATATTCTTGCACTGAGGAGCAGTTAAACTCTACCTCAGAGGTGGTAGGGTGCCAACATGCTACAACCTGAGGGTTTTGCTGGAGCTTTACCAATAATGATGCTGCTCCCATAATCTTGTTTTTTCCTGTCTGTATTAATTGGAGTGCTAGTTTCTCGTTCTGTCTCGTGTCATCCTTCAATTAGAGCTGATTGGAGGTGATGATTGTGCAACCCTGTTCTTGAAGCTTTCTGCTATCACTAAGTGAAGGAAGAACTTGGAATATCAGGAAGCCCTGAGGGAGAGCTGTTAAATTTGATTTCAGCAGAGTCAAAATTTTTGTTTGGGGAAGAATGGGCAATGTTTGAACCCGTTCTTATGTAAGCCATTCAGGCATGCAGGTGTGTCTGTGGAATTGCAGTGGATTTGTAGTTGATGGAAGAGGCAAACAGTGAACTATGTTGATTCAGATAGATTTATTGAATGTATGTGGACATCTGTATCTATTTAGCAAGGCACATAATGTAAATAGTATCTTGTGCTAACACCAGTAGTCTTCTATGCAGTAAATGAAAAACAATCAAATCCAGGAATAAAAAAAAAAAAAACAACAAACAAAAACACAGTATGATTGTTTTGATAGACTTCTGTCGTTCAAAATCTGTGAGTTATCTTGTGGGTTTTCTTTGTCTCTTTGAATCTGTTACTTTAATAAGGGGTTAACGTTATTTGTCAATGTGACTGAATTCCTGAAGTAGTGGTTGAATTGAGAGGCCTATCAGAGATGTTGTCACTTTCTCAGGTTGTGTGAGTTCGGTGTATTAGTTCTCAGAAGAGTAACTTTGCTGGAAGGAGATGCCTGGTTTTACTTGCCCTGCTGATTGTTTTTTGCCAGCAATACTTTTGTGAGCAACAATGGAGGGAGAACTCTTCCCTGCCCCTCTGCCATCCTTACACCCCATTGTTGTATTATTGGGAGGCTGTACGGTTGTCATGTACAGTGAACATCCACTAAACCTCAGCACCCTGTCCTCACAGTGACACCTTCCTTATCAGATTGTGTATACATACTTGTTTTCTATCTGGGACTACTGCATTCTTGTTTGGTTTTATGCATATGTTTGTATCTTATGGGTAGTACTTGCAATGCAGGGGAGAGGCTGGGTCTTGTGCTGGTTTAAACTGAGCTTCAGCCATCTGTCTCTGCTCTTGTTTACTGATGCTCTTTAGATGACTGGGAAGCCTCCTGGCAGTTGCAATTTTTGCAGAAGGAAACAAAGGGGCAAAAATAACAAAGGTTGATAAAGCTTGAGGATAAATTCAGCTTTCAGAAAGGCAATAGATAATTCTTATTTTAAATAATGTAGCTGGGATGCAGTGATTAAAAAAAAAAAACCAAAAACAACACAACAAAAAACCCAAAAAGGGCTGCTGAAAAGTCGGAACAGTTACAATTCCTGGTTGCGCTGGAAAGCTTTGTGTCTTGTTCCTAAGGATGACCACACAATTGCAGGCAAGGACAGAATGTAACTGATGCACCTTCTGCTTTCCTCAGCATAGGGGGTAACATGGCAAGCTTAGCAGGAACCTTCACCAGATGGCTAATCATTACTGTCTTGCACATTAGCTGGTGGCAACTTTTTACTTAACCAAAAAGGGTTATGCCTTCAGGAGGACTGTGTTTCTGATTAATTCCTACTGAGCATCATTTTACATCAATTTTCTTTCTTTCCTGATTAGGAAGAATTTTGATCTGAAATCAATTGGCAGAACCTCTTTTTCATAAAACAAACAAAAGGCATGAGAGATCACTGTGTGATTAGCTGGCTGGCTACCATTCCCAACTATCATGCTCTGATGCAGACTGTTCTCTATCACCACATGATATGAAAGCAGTTCACAGATCCAGCCAGCTTTTCCTGCACCTGTGGTTCGGCCACTGGTTCTGCCAGGCTTCCCTGAAGTTTTGCTTGAACAGAGAGTGCAAGTTTGAATCACAGCAGGTTCTGGCCAGCCTTAATGTTAATTAGCATCAAGTGGGATTTGTTCAATAGTATTTGGCTTCTTTGTGCATTCAGATTTTTGTATGTTTGCTGGCTTTGCTTTTCATGACTCTGGCCATAATAATGCTGAATGTGGTGTGGACAGGTGCAATGTGAACTTTCTATCTGGATCTGCCGTCCCAGTGCACCTTGAGCTTGGCCAGCAGACACATGCTGTTTTGTCCAAATTCTTTCCCGAGTTCACAGTCAAGTAGTAATTTCCTACTTTTGTATTACAAAAAAGGACTAGAAGGTCACCGAACTCTCAGGTGAATGGGATCCAAGCCAAAATTTGAATCTGGGTTCTTGGAGATGAGTTACCAAAAACCTTAAATCAGACCAAGGTAGTGGGCTTTCAGTTTTTCCCAAGGAGCAGAATGAGAGCTTCAGGGTTGAGATTTGGTAATAACTGTACTTTCTGTTAAATGTACTTAATGGAGCCCTGGCAAAGATATTTATGTTAGGATGAATTATGTATCACTAATTTCCTGTAGTAGGAATAGAAAAAAATCACATCTTAACTCTGCATTAAGCTTGACTATTTTTACTATGATTGTGGAGGAAGAGCAAGATTTTTTTTTTTTTAAATTCTGTCTACTGTTAAACATTAGTTGCAGAGACAGACACGAGAAGCCACCCGTTGTGCATTTCTGCTTATAATCAAGGTGAGAGTTGCATAGTGCCATTATGCAGTGACGAGGCCTCGCAATGGCCTCAGTTGGGTCAGTTTTTTAACTAGTAACAGTTTGTTAATTGAGGAGCACAGTGGAGTTGTTGCTTGGCTTTATAGCTTGCTTCATAAAAATAAGTGCATGCTGTCTCATAGATAAAATCATTTCACACACAGAGCTATCTGCATAACAACATGGAAATCCTATCTGGAGTCCACATAAATAATATTTATCTGTAAAGCTGCTTCCTTAAAGGTGCCCCAGTAGTGACTTCTGTTCACTTAGGAGGACTTGACAGTGCTCTCCAGAGTTCTGCCAGGCTCTCTCTATAGAAAGCTACCAACAGCCATAGTGCTCAATATAAGGTCAGTTTGGGGATATGTGTAATTTAGTTCCGTTGGGAGTAAAGTTTTACTTACTTTAGCCTCTACTAAGTGTGGGAGTGCTGAATGTCCCTTTCTGAAGAGCATGGAGCATTCTCTATATTTTTAGTGAGTTTGATATAGACAGAGGAAGAGTGCTGGAATTTATCTATGCATGTGAGCTGCAAGACTCAAAATTCCTGTTATCTCAGCTGAGCAGAATGCCATTTTAAAGCTCATACTTAGAGCTGTAGATTCTTCAGTTTTTGTATGCCTTAAATGCCTGACCATATAAGCAAGCATGTGAATTTCCTGCTTTTAAGGTAATCCTTGACAGTACTTAATTTTAAAGCCCCAAGAAAGCATGCAATATGTCATCATGGAAGGACATTGTTCTGTACCAGTTTCTGCAAGGGTCTGTTCCTGAGTTACTCGCATGTTCTGAGATCTTGGACAAGTTTCTTAATTCTGCATTTCTTCCACCCACTATTGTATTCTGTGGATTTTACAAGACATAGTTTGAAAAGTGCTTTGCAATGTTTTAGCAGTACAAAGACGACTCATGAGGGAACATGCCAGTGCTGTTGCTGCTGTTCAGAAACACAACTTTCCTTTGAGCAACGGAGGCAGACTTCAGTCCACTGTGTAGTGATTATTAAAGTTCCTACGTTTCAGATCCTCAGAAGGAAAAACATGCAGCTCACATGTTAATTTTAAAGGCTGCTGGCCACAGGTTCTGCTGTCAGTCTGTGACTTACATTGGGTCAGGAATGAGGTTTAAATTTTCTCTGACACTTGTTTAGTTCACTTTGCTATTACTTTTTAAACATGTTTTAATCCTTCGCTGTGATGATCAGTGGATTTCCTAGGAGCACTGATGACAAGATGCTGTTTAAATGCCTCTCCCCCCCCCCCGCTTTCCAGCGATTTAGCGGCTTTTGAGATTATCAAGCTGCTTGTGCTACCACTCCCCTCTTCTTAGTCTGGGGGAGTGAAGAGTTCTGTCTCTTTTCTCTCCAGCTGAGTTTAGTGGAATCTATGGAGCTTCTGCTTTATGTCCGCAATGACTATAGTGCACTCAGCAGTCTTGTTTGTTTGTTTGTGGAAGAAGGAACAAAACAAACAGTTGCTAACATGTACCTTAGCCCTACCATGAGTAAGGGCATGCAGATAGATTTTATTTTTGCTTTTCTTAGGTTCACTCTAGATCATGGAGTTTCTCCCACCCCAACGTTCAGGTTCTTCTGCAATAACAAAGCACCTGCCTTTGAAATGAGAGTGTAAACCAACCCAGATAGTAGTTGCCTGATACTGGGAAACCCTGGAGAGTGCTGATGTCACCTGATCTGTCTGTGTGAAGCTCATTTTCGTGGTCCACGACAGAGAGATCGAAGTGGGACTGGCTTTCCTATGGAGTAAGTAGACAGAGCGCTATGAATTCTGCAAGTAATGGGTTAGGTAGAAAGCTGCTTGTTATCCCTGCATAATTACCAACAGTTTAAAAGTCTGGCAGTAGAGATGAGCCCACTTTGTGCAGCTGCCATCGCTGCATGAGGGCCTACCAGGCAGGCAGTGACCTGTGGCTGGAC